CTTGAGTTTATGCTACGAGGATCTATGGACAACTATCCAAGCCCCAGAGGCTGACATGGCAAGTGCAATACAGGCACGGTATATCAAGTTCAATGACATGTCACTCCCTCTCCTACGCCAAAGATCGCTCAACTCCATTGGATTATTGGCTTGACCACCTGCGCAGCAAATTAGATCTCAAGTCCCTGCCTTCAGAGGCATCAGCTGGATTCGGTAATGTACTTACCTTCCCTTGTTCAATATCTTCGAGGGCTTGGTGGAAGTCTTTGACGTTGTAAATCTTGCATAATCGATCTATCGGGAAGTTTCCTGTCTTGTGCAATTCCATCAACTGTGGTATAAACTGTGACGAATCCAATATCAGTCAGTCGGTCTCCTCTGAAGTATTTACTGGGTGTAGTATTGTGGTTGCGTCTTGCTCATTACTCACTTTTGAGGGCACCGAGTCTCCTTCGATGGTGCCAATCAGCCTTTTATTCTGTAGCAGAAAGGTAAGGGGATCGAGTTGTAGCCGTGAGCCTGCTGCCGGTACTCCTACCATCGCCGCGCTTCCACAAGGAGAGAGGCATTCTATTGCGTTCTCGATGACTTTGACCACTCCCGTGCAATCCATGGCGTAGTTCGCACCACCTTCCGTGATTCGCTTGATCTCTGCAACCGTGTCCGGCGTGTCTTTGCCGTTTATGGTGTGTGTTGCTCCCAGCTCCTGGGCCAACTTCAACTTGACCGGAACTAGATCAACGGCAATGACCTGCCTTACCTTTAGATATGCAGCTGCCATTACCGCGGTCAGGCCGACGCTACCCAGGCCGAAGATGACAACGGAATCTTTTTCTGTCGCTTTGAAAGAGTTCATGATGGTGCCGGCACCCGTTTGAAACCCGCACCCGAGTGGCGCAAAGATCGCCATGGACTCTGGATATGGACATTTTACGATGCACGCCTCCTTTACCACCGACAGTCTGCAAAAGGACGAGTGTCCAAAAAATTGGGATGAAACTTTTCTCCCGTCATCGGCCATGGCGGTTGGGGTGCTTCCATCTTCTGGGCGTTTGGCAGTGTGATTGATCTCGACATGGCCGTGGCACCTTGCTGGCTGACCCTTGGAGCATTCGACACATTTTCCGCACGCGTTGAATGAAAGTAGAACAAAGTCTCCAGGATGAAGGCTCTTGTCCTTGACTCCCGACCCAACCGCCTTCACCACACCAGCACCTTCGTGACCAAAGATGGCGGGGAATTTCACCGTAGGAACCAATCCACGTTGAAATACAATGTCCTGATATTATTGTCTTGATCAGTTGTCCTCTCCCACTCAAAGTCGACGCGAAGCGCACCACTTACGGTGTGGCAGACTCCCGAGTACTTCATCTCGACCAGCACCTCGTCCGAGCGTAGTACAGGGTCCACTGTGACCGTGATAAGTTTGAAGTCATCTTTGGCCTTCTCAACCACGAGAGCCTCTGTTTGAAGTTTTTGTGCGGTGGCCATTTGGCTCCAAGATGATCTCGTCCGAAAGAGGATTAACTTTTCGTTGAAGGTATAATCCTCAGGGAACCTTTTCCTTCAATCGTTCAGTGGCCAAAGTTGATGATTCAAGTGATGGGGGTATCTATCGTACCCAAAACACTCATGATTCGTCCACAAGGCTGCGTACAGAGTGTGTGTCGGTGCGAGTCGGACCGAGTCAGACTCGCCCGTGATGAAGACATGTTGTTGTAGAGGTTCTTGTGGACGGACCGGGTGGGGCACTTTGGTATTCCGGGGTCACTGTGAATCATACACAGGGCTTAGGTCGCGACAGTCTGTTTTATGCAATGGTCATGGCAAACTCGGTGTGTGTATAGAGCGCAAGGCCTCGCTCAACTATGTTGGTGATTTCCGATAGCCATCACAACCGCCACGACTGAACTTCGACCGGCACCGAGCAACATCTAGTTCTTCATTGACCTCAAACCATTCAAGCGACTTACCAACCGGCTCCCCAATCCTTTTTTCTTCTTCCCGTCATCGTCAAAGACGTTCCACAGAGGGCCAAAATGGCGTGTTGTTATATTGCAGTTTTTATGATATCTTGCCTCATCGATGCAGCCGAAACGTTGGATATAGACATCCGGGTGCAGTACAACGAAACAATAGATCCCTCCAAGACGGCACAAAATGCAAAGAGAGGCGTACAACAGCAGCTCGTTGCACCGCCGGGCATAAACACCATATCGGTCTCGGGGATGACATGCTCTACCTGTACTGACGCGGTCGAAAGATCACTCACAGAGTTCCCTGGAGTCGACAGAGTGTCAGTCTCCCTTCTGACCCATGAAGCTATGGTCATTCATGGGCCTGAAGTCAGAGTCGAGGATCTGAGAAGGTGCGTGGAGGATTGCGGGTTTGAAGCAACCGCCGGCAAGAGAACGGCGGGAGAGAGTGCAGAGCTGTTGCGGCAGACAAAGGAATTGAAGACACTGAAGAACTCATTCTACAAACTAGCCAGAACATCCAGCTTACTTTCACTGGTGAACAACAATTCCCGAATGTTCCGATATCTCAGTCTGAGGAGATTTTCGGATCGATTACTCACCCCTTGGGGCACACAATTGATATGTTTATGTCTGACAGTGTTGATATGGGGACGATATGGAGCGTGGATGCACAAGAGCACATGGGCGAGGGTCAAGAGAGGGTCGATGAACATGAACACTTTGGTCACACTGTCTTCCACGCTTGGGATTTTGCTCTCACTGTTGAATCTGTTCTACCAAAGCAGCAATCCAGGCAGCGCAGAAACCTACTGGCAGACGACGGCCGGACTGATCATGGTGGTCACGGCCGGCAAGTACGTGAACGCGTTAGCCCGGAGGACGGGGACAAAGGCGCTCGCCTCGTTATATTCGTTGATCGAAGAGACATCCTGGGTGAAGCTATCAGATACCAAGGTCAGTTTGAGTCGATGAGAGACAACATAGAGAAGATCCCTCTAGCTGACAGCCTTTGAGCAGCAATTGATACCGACTTCCATGGTCAGGAAGTCGGACACAATCCGCATCGAGCCCTTCACCATCATCCCTTGTGACTGCTACGTCTTCTCCGGGTCGTCTTTGGTCAACGAGGCCATCATCACGGGAGAGTCTCTCCCCAAGACCAAAAAGACGGGAGATTTTCTCCTCGCCGGTACCCGTAACGGGAGTGGCAGTATGGTCGCCATCATCCACGAGACCGAGCAAGGATCCTTTCTTACCCAGATGCTCAACACGGTCGAAGAAGCCATCGGAAGTAAAGTTCAGGTGCAGCAGAATGTCGACATCGTCATTCGATACTTCGTCACCGTGATAATCGTATTGGCCATCTTTGGATCGGTTATTGCCTTTCGCGAGGCCGACTCCTCTGTACTTTCCATCCTTGCGCGCATTAACATTGCCGCTAGAAAAGCCATGACGATCCTTGCAGTATCTTGTCCATGTGCACTGGGTCTGTCCACTCCAGTTGCCATTACTGCAGGAGTAGGTGAGTACTACCAAGAAACTCCTCTCCACTCTCAACCTACACAGGATGAATGAACAATGCTGACCTTCCCAATTCTGTTCGTGACAGATGTGGCACGCCGAAAGGGTATCCTCATGGTAGAAGGTGCTCGCAACATGGAGAAGCTAAACGAAATCAGCCACATCGTGATGGACAAGACAGGAACGGTCACCGAAGGCCAGCTTCACATGGCTGCTTGTGATCTTGAAGACTCATGGTGTGATCGTTGGGAAGAGCTCAGTGTCCTGGTCTGTGCAGCCGAAGAGCGAAATGGAGTTGCTCGTCCAGCAGGTCTGGCCGTGTTCCGTGGCTGTCTCCAAAACATCCAATCCCAGTGGCGAAAGTATAAAGAATTTGGAGGTTTGAAGAACCTTGAAGAGGTTGTCGGCCAAGGTCTCCGCTGTGATGTCGACGTCGGCGATAGCTCGTGGAGGAGGATCTGTCTTGGTAACGCCATGTTCTTGAGCTCGATGGGCATACAGATAGTCGAGCAGCCACACCTGCAAGCGGCCAAAGAGGCACTGAATGTCTACGTCGCCATTGACGATGAGTTCGCTGGCGTTTTCAGGTTACAGGTGAGTCTCATCTTTGGAATAATCCCAAGATTTTCCCTACGTACTCATATTCTGGGTAGGACAAGATACGATCCGATGCTAAGCAAGCTATCGAAGCGCTCCAACAACGAGGTTTGAGCGTTACAATGGTGCGTAGTCGGTCCGGTTGCCTGCTGTGGCTCCCCTCTTTGAAATTTGCAAGAATTTGTTCGTTGAAAATCTGATTTCTATCGCAGGCTACCGGAGACGTCAAGGCAGAAGCTCAACGCGTCTCATCACAGCTAGGTATCTCAGTCCTTGCAACAAGTGCACTTCCGTCAGAAAAGCTTCTTCTCGTTGAAAAGCTCCAAAAACAAGGAGAAAAAGTCGCAATGGTATGTGTCCATGTGTCTCTATTCAAGCGGTGCAATGGTCTCTCTCAATATGGCTGACCGCAGTATTTACACAGATCGGCGACGGTATCAATGACGCTCCCAGTCTTGCCGCAGCAGACGTTGGTATCATGATGGCTCATGGTAAACAATGCCTCACCACGGGAGGGAGTGTGGTACTTCTCTCGTCCCAGCTCAACTCCATCCCAGCTCTATTCCTGATTGCAAAAGAGACGATGGCCCAGATACACTTCAATCTTGTTTGGATCTTGGTGTACAATGTCATCGCCTTGAGTCTAGCGCTTGGCTTGGGCGCATCCTGGAATTTGACTCTAACCCCGTATGTCCATACAAGTGTTCTTTGTCAGTAACAACGGTGGTGCAGAAAGGCGGCTAACTCCATGAACCACGCTAGGTCTACTGCGGCTGCCATGATGTCGTTTTCTTCGATATCGGTGACTGTACTAGGAGTCAGACTCCGCAATCGTCTCATGAGCCGCTTAGAGACATGAATGACCCTATTGTGGGTCGAGTGTCCCAACAAACGAAGCAAAGATCAAAGGTTGAGGTCGTCTAGCCATGGTTGAGGTGCTGGAAACGTGCTCCAGGACTCCGTCGGTAAAGATTCGAGACTATCCGATATGGTGGGCACTATGGGTCTCGTATAGCCGAGCGGAAAAAGGTTCAACAAGTCATCATACACCGGAGAAGGAATATTAGAAGGGTTGAATGCATCCCAGGAAGTTTTGCTCAGTGGCGTGGAGAGTCGACCGTAATCCAGGGCTTCAACAATGTCTGTGACATCGATTTGCCCCAGGACATCGGGTCTCGTCGAAGGGTGTAGAAATGGTGCGAACCGAGCGCTATTTGTGCGTAACGATCTCAGTCGTGTGACCTGTGTGGATGAGAGCTTCGTTAGTGATTGCTTATACATGTAGCTCATTAATGATTTACGTACCATGAAACTGGTGCTCCTCCAGAGCTTAGCCAGGCCCTCCAGGAGCTGCAGAGAAGCATCGAGACAGGCTCTGGCGTCTTCTGCAATGGCAGGGTCACTAGAGTGGAGGAAGAGGGCGTGGATCGTAGCCGCCACGGTTACACAATAGCCATAGAAAGGGTCCCCAACCGACGATATCGATGGACAGCTCATTTGTTTGACTTCTAGCATCAGATTGACCAAGGCCTGCGCGTGGCTGCGGCAAGTATCCATCGAATGAACTAAAAAACTCAGGGGCGCTTGTCCCTGGTAGTTGAGAAGACGCCGTCGAAACATGATCGGATGTCGGAGGAGACAGTGGCAGAGATGGAAGAGGGTTCGTGAGAATATGAGAGGCGCTACTTTGTGAGCGTCAATGGAGCCGTCCTTGTTGCTGTTCTCTTGTCGGACGATTTCTGCGAGGGGGATGTTGAGTCGAAAGTCGGATTCGATCTGGAGGAGATTTGCATGGATCGTCGACAGCCTGGAAGTTGGACTCCAGGGGGCCTGAACTTCTTGAGCAGACGCGCCCTGTTCGCCGAGTGTGTATCGCGTACATTGGCCCAAGACGGAGGCTATCCTGACCGACATAGCAAAAGGGCTGAGCTGCGTCGACTTGACACCTCCCATCTCACCGTTGACTTCGTCCAGTGTCGCCGTCGGCCGCCAGGGCTTCTCACTGCGGAACTCGTCTTCACCGCTCGGCAGTCGGACTTTGCAAGCCTCGTCCAGCATGGCCAAAGGCTTCTCGCGCCCACACGACATCAGCTTGTCACAGATGTAGAATGACCAAAATACCCTCCGCCGCTCTTCTTGTTCGGTCACCGACAGCCACGCATCCGGCTCCCTCATCAAGCCAAAATCCTGAATGATTCGAATCGCCAGTCCGACTTTGATCCACGATCCTTGCGCCTTACCATCGGTGTAATCGATTATGGCCAATAGCAGAATAGTCTGAACGATACTGATACCCATTCTGTCCTCGATACCATTCCAGGGCAACACGAGAGCTTTCCAGGACTCTATTGCATAGCTCGCGATCGCTTCTGGTCCGTTCCGAAGTGGAGTGGTTGACGGATATCGCGCGGCGCTGGCAAGAATGGCAAACACCAGAGCACGAGGTACCTGGCCCATGGCTAGCTTTGCTTTGAAAGAGACTTCATGGAATAACGAATAAGGACGATTATGACAATGTTCGAAATATAGATCGGCAGCCGCCATTATGACTTCAAGGGGTGGGAGATTGTCGGGGGTGCCGGATTGTTTCAGCGGTCCTTTCATGTCTAGAGTCGACAGATTGGGTCCCATCTCAGAATTTGACAGACGAGTTTCCACGGTGGCCGCCAGACTTCTCTGTTAGTAGACCACTTGTGCTTGATGATGGCTGGTACTCACCGAGATATTGACCCTGCCATAGCTGCTAATTTACTCTCAATGCCCTCGAGCATGGTGCGAAGATCGTCCTGCAACGTGTAAGAAGCTGCCTGAAAACCCACTACATTCGTCTCGGAAGGCTTGGGATCACCCACTTCAGGTTGCCTTCCACCCATATCCCACGAAAGAAACTCATCAGACGAAGTTCCGCGAGATTTGCTCCTTTGTTCACTCTCCGGGGCTATGTACACGCAGGACTGGGATAAGCGACGACATAAAGAACAAGTCGGCTTCGTTCCTGAACAGCGCACTTTCTTGCGTCTAGAACACCTATTAGCATCAGGCGCAATTCTGCATTTTCAATGGACTTTTGAATCAAAGGGACCTCGCAACATTGGGGGGTGCCTCTTACCGACAATTGTGACAGGCTTGTCGAACGCGTTGAATTCGGTGTGTTTCCATAGTGTCGGACATTGCTGGTGGAGAGAAAATTCTAGGTGAGGAAAGAATTACAAGTTTTCTCCTTCTGCTTCCCTTGAGAACTTCTGCCCTCTCTTTGCACTTGGTGTCTCCATGGAGGGGATTATTCCCCGCTGATATGGGGCCCAATGTCCTCATCACGATCACTAGGCTTCTGGGGTACATTGTGTCCTTCGGAGGTGGTGCCTTGTTGGTGTGACGAGTGGAGACCGACATCGGATTCGGTCACGAGCAACTACACAGAATAGTACGGATTAGGTCTCCTGTCGACCGAGAACGCAGGTGCTAAAGCTTGTTGTGGGCCCTACTACAATGTTGTCACCCCATGGGTCAAGATCTTTCGTTGACTGTCGTGTGCAGGTCGTCCCGACAAGATGGTCCGAGCACCCACATATTCGGGGAATAGTTGCAATATGTCAAAAAGATCTTCATCGCTACGTAGCAGAGCGCAGCGAATGCCTTGTTTGTGGCCCCCCAATGGGGTAGCAGGACATGCTTCTGCACATTGTATTCAGAGTCTGTTACCGCAGATGACACAGACAGGTGCGTGCGCTCGACTGCGAGGCACAGTAAATTTCAGGCCACTGCCTTGAAGGCTCGTGGAAAACTCGGGCATCAAGGTGAAAAGTTCTACGCAGTCGGTCCCCGGACCGTTAGACACGGCCGCCAAGTCACTTTGTGGATCGCCCTAACGGTTCATCGGACCGTGTTCACCCACCAAGTACTATTGTTCTGTCCAGATGTAGTGAAGCTGATCGTAGTCATCGTCGATGACGGTCTCTTGATCACAATAATTCAAAGAGCGAGTTTGGACACCCATGTCTCATCAGCGAGGGCGTCATCTCCTTGTCAAGATAGCAAAAGAGATGCAGAAAGGACATGGCGGGAAGAGGAAGAATACATCCGAATTTCAAACCCACTGCATCAGTGTAAGCCACGTTACTTAATATCTTAGCTACGCGCGTCACAAGGGGCCCTCTTATCACGAATCACTGGCTATGAGGGACATCCTTCCAAGACCCTCCACCTTCGAACCATCACTGGTTAAATTGATGGCCTTTCAACTCAGGATTTTGTACAATGGTATCTTCCGAGTATTCGAGCACACTTTCGCCAAATCCTAGCTAGTCTGACCTCAAGATATTGTGCGCGTACATTACCATGACAAACATGCTATTACAATGGTGTCAAAGGCATTCCCAGACCACCCATCGTGATGGTCTTTTGAATTTGGAACTCTTCAATCCCATGTCGTCCTCCTTCACGGCCAAACCCAGACTGCTTGATTCCTCCGAACGGGGCGTAGGGATCTGAGACTATGCCCGTGTTGATCCCCGTCATACCGACTGATATCGTTCTTAGCTTTCTTTTCCTCTCTTAAACGGTGTTTGACTTACCTTCTAGCGCCTCGGCCGTCCTCCACGCACGCGCAACGTCTTGTGTATAGACATATCCTGCCAGACCGACTGGAGAACGATTGGCTGCCTCGATGACCTCCGCCTCTGCTTCAAACCTATAGATGGTCGCTACAGGCCCAAAAAGCTCGGTGTTACTAGCTTCCATATTGGACGTCATGTCCTTCAGAATGGTGGCCGGGTAGAAGGTTTCTGCCGCATCCGGTGCTCTCTCTCCACCCAGGACGACCTTTGCTCCTTTGGATTGGGCATCCGCAACCAAGTTGGTGAGTTTGGATACGGCTTTGGGTGTGATCAGACAGCCCAGGGTGGTATCCGCATTCTCCAGAGGTCCAGGTCGTATTTGAGCTTGGGTTTCCTTTTTGAAAGTATCGATGAACTTGTCATAGATGCCGGCTTGGACGTAGATCCTGTTCGGTGAGACGCAGGTTTGCCCAGATCCTCGAAACTTGCCTGCAAGCAAGCCTTGCATCACCAATGACAGGTCCGCGTCATCGAACACTCAGAAACACATTAGGATGTTAGCAAAAATCCCTATACTTTGATAAAGGGTGATTTTCTGCAGGTCGCTCTCACCGATGTAAGGTGCATTGCCACCAAGTTCGAACGAGCACTTCTTCAATGTGGAACTGGCTTGCTGCATCAACAGTTTTCCTACCCCAGTAGAGCCAGTAAACGATATCTTCTTGACGTCATCATGCGTGGTCATGACCTTGCCCACGGAGGAGACATTCTTGTTCGTGGTCACAATGTTCATGACACCCTCAGGCAAGCCTGCCTGTTCGGCCAATTTCGCCAATGCCAGAGCCGAGTACGGAGTTTCAGCCGCTGGTTTGATCACCACTGAACATCCGGCAGCGATCGCTCCCGCTATCTTGCGAGTTATCATGGCAGAAGGAAAGTTCCAAGGTGTCAATATGCCGACCACACCCACCGGCTGGGCAACAGTGACGAACCTATTCCCGGGGATCGAGCCCTGCGCTGAATAGCCGTACGATCTCTCAGCCTCGCCGGCGAACCAATCCAAGAATGCTGCCGCGTAGTCGATCTCTTGTAGTGCACCAGACAGAGGCCGTCCGTTCTCGTACATGAGTATCGTGGCAAGTTCATTCCGATATTGCATCATCAGGTTGTACCACTTGCGAAGAAGCTTCGCTCGAGCCTTTGGATGAGTGTGCTGAAAAGACTTGAAAGCACGCTGCGCTGAAGATATTGCCGAGACCACATCTTCTTCGCCCCTATTTTGGGTGTCAGATGTCACATATGGTCTAACTGGATATACTGACATTTCAGGACATGAACCGATCTTCTCATGAGAGTACTTATCTGCCCCTAGTCAGTCACTGTCGTCCAACATTTCTCGAAATTCAACGAACCAAAGATATCAAATGATTTTCTCGATGTGGCCTCCGTCCATTTGCCATTAATGTAAGCCTTTTCCGTGAACAATGGCAGCTTTTCCAGAGTCGTCCTGGCCTGAGCTCTGTTAGCAAGAACGATAGATACACCATTGCCTTGTTCTCGATTACCTTTGATGAAAAGCATCGTTGACTGGTTCTCCACGTAACAGACCGTGATTTAGCAAAGATTGGGTGCTTGTCTCCGCGGTACTGGAGGACCTTGCCCCAGAACTGAGTTCGTGATCGCATTGCAAGACTCAATCCTCTTGAATGGCGTGTTTTCTACACTAACTGTTTGTCGAGGGAGGTTTCTTTGACCCAGTCGAGCTCATAAATATAGTATTTGCTTGATAGAATGCTTCGTGATGTCGGCTGATTTCGGGCTGGATTGAATCGACCCGCCTTGCATCCATCTAGTGCGGCTTGATCGGACCGCGACGCTTCTCAGGAGATTACGTTCTGGCGGCGCCTAAGCCTTGTGCTTTGTTCAGCAGTATCGATATGAATATCCGGCTCCAATGTTGTTGGTCTGTAAGATGTCGCAAAGAGTCCAGACTGTTACATGATCATTTATCTATCAAATAGTAATTCGCTTTTGGTTGAAAGACCCTAATTCTATATGTGTCTTCCTCCGTCCACTTCTAGATTTACGCCGGTGATAAACTCTGACTCGTCAGAGGCAAAGAATACACATGCATTTGCAACGTCTCCTGCTTCTGCAAGACGGCCTAGTGGCACGTTGGACAAGAACTTCTTCTGGTTCTCCGGCGTATTGGGGACTCCGCTGAACTGTTCGAACAAGCCAGTGGCACCAAGTAAGGGGCAAACCGAGTTGACCCTTATCTTCTGGGGCCCAAACTCCGCTGCTAATCCTTTTGTGACCTGTAAGATCCCATCTCTTAGCAAAAAGGTACAATAGGCTAGGAGGAGGAGGAGGAGGAGGAGGAGGAGGAGGAGGAGGAGGAGAGGAATTACATACATTAGTTACTGCTCCTTTTGAGCTGTTGTACCACACCAAGCCTGGTCTCGGTCTTGTTGCACCCACGGAAGCCACATTGACGATGGAGCCACCAGAGTTTTGTTCAAGCAATACTGGCAGTACGTGCTTGACACCGAAGTAGACGCCTTTCACATTGACATTGAAGCATTTGTCGAAATCTGCCTCCGTTACCGAGAGTGACGGCTATAAATCTTGTCAACGATGGCGACGACCAACATGTGGATATGAGAAGAACACGAACCTGATTGGCATGAGTTGTACCGGCATTGTTGACCAGGCAGTCTATTCGACCACCGAACGAGGCTTTCGTTGCTTCCACGAGAGACTTCCAGTTGTCGTCCTTGCTGACGTCTGTTCTGTGGAATTGCAGACTTCCTGGATAGTCCTGGATCACTTTCTTGCCAGCGTCCTCGTTGAGGTCCGCGATCATGACCTTCGCTCCTTGAGCAGCGAAAGCTCTAGCGATGCCTGCTCCATATCCAGAAGAAGCACCTGAACTCTCGTGTCAACTTAGGAATTTAGGGTCCAAGACTCCAAAACTCACCCGTCACGATGGCTACTTTTCCGGCGAGCCTGTTTCCTACTGCTATTCTAGCCATTGCCGCCATTGTTCAGGATACTTGGTACTGGTCTTATGCAACGTACAGAGGTGTCTCCCCTTATTTTTGTATGCATGATACATGTCATGTTTGGATCCACTCACGGAAGGGAGATCCAGGCTGCCAGTGGGTCCGGTCTGATGCGGTCCGAGCAAATTCTACATTGTGTTGTTGATGTCAAGTCAATCGCTCAATGGCTAATTTACAATGTGATCAAGGTACACAGAGATTTGTGCGTGTGCGTGTCAAGCATCTTGTCCACTGAGGAGTCTGTTTGCCGTTGCTATGGCTCCAGAGATTTAGAGCTACACAAGATCAGAATATCTGCATTCTACTATTATTGTAGTCAAAGGATAATAGTTGCCAATATCATGCGTAGCCTCAGGAATCTTGTATACACAGCCATCAGGGTCAGGCTAGAAGAAACATAGGCCATCTATTCCGGGTTTTGGTAGGGGTAAGGCAAGCAGGTGTCACTACGCATAGTCTCTCCCAAGAAGATCGCGAACAACAACATAGTGGTATTTGTCCAGGGTTCTGGTGCTTGCAACCCTGGTACTCTGCTTCATAGAGGTCAGCTTTTGAGGACATAATATAAGAAGTACTCAGAAATGCTGCTCGTCAATGCGTCAAGCAAGCCGTTTCCCCAGATGCATCACTTTCGCCCTCCTTGGAGTATCTAACCTTGCCCAACCACCCCTGTAGTTAACTGCTAATGGCCAGAGGCCGTAGTTCAAATCTATCATGCCACTATCCAGTGTGGCCGACACAAGTCGGTGAATGACAAGGAATCGGCTTCATCCGTTATGAAATCCCGACCGATGCGGACCGCGATGACTATAGCAGAAATCACGGTCCCTGCAGTACCTAAGGTCCGAGAGTGGAGAACCAGCAGAAAGTGATCTGCACCACATCTCTGACCGAGTGTTACCGTCAACAAGGGAGTCTCGAACGAATAATTAATGAACAACAAGCTAATTTGTCTCTGAGTTGAAAAAGTTGGCGGACGAATTCTTCTTTCTTCTCTTGACTAAAGGAGAACCACCCCGGCAGCAGTAGCTATGTTGAGGACGTACCTTGGTCGAGCTGCTTCGGCGACTCGCCACCAAACAACATCGTTCGCACAATCAACAATAAAAATCAGACGAGATTTCTCCTCATCGCGAGTACTGGCAGCCGTGGCTCCTCGAGCCGACCTCAACATCAATGGAAAGAAGTGTTCAATACCAACAGGGCTGTTTATCAATGGGGAATTCGTGGCGTCCCAGTCGGGGTCTACCATGCCCGTCGAAGATCCATCTACCGGCAAGGAGCTTGTCCGAGTCCAAGAAGGGAGGTCTGAGGACGTCGACCTGGCCGTGAAGGTTGCCCGAGAGACGTTTGAAGAGGGCTCGTGGTCATTCTCGGATCCGGCTCATCGAGGCCAACTCTTGAACCGACTGGCCAACATCCTGGAAGCCAACCTGGAGGAAATCACCAGCATTGAGTGTGCCGACACTGGAAAGACCTTTCGACAGGCGTCAGCGCTCGATGTGCCCGGATCCATCGGGACTTTGCGCTATTACGGCGGCTGGGCGGACAAGGTATTGGGTCTGACTTCTTTCAACATTCCAGGTGCATTCGCCTACACACGAAGAGAGCCGGTCGGCGTTTGTGGACAAATCATTCCTTGGAACTTTCCTTTGCTCATGTTCATCTGGTACGTTGAATCCCATTTCTACTCGAGGTCATGTCGCTGACAATTTCAAAAGGAAGATTGCTCCCGCTTTGGCCACCGGAAACACCGTGGTGATCAAGTCTGCTGAAGCTACACCCCTCTCGGCGCTCAAGGCTTGCGAGTACATTCAGCAAGCTGGCTTCCCCAAGGGAGTCGTGAACTTGATCTCTGGTTACGGCAAGACGGCCGGCAATGCCATCGCGAATCACATGGATGTCGATAAATTGGCCTTTACTGGCTCGACCACCACCGGCAGAGCCATCCTGAAAGCTTCTTCCGAGTCGAACTTGAAAAAGGTCACTCTTGAATTGGGAGGGAAATCTCCGGTAAGTTGATTGCGAAAGGAGAAATCCTTGAGAAACTTCCACGTTTCCATTTCTCTAACACAATATCAAATAGAATATAATCTTCCCGGATGCCGATCTCGAGAAGGCCGTGGAATGGTCAGCGTGGGGCATCAACATGAACTTCGGCCAAACCTGCCATGCCGGCACTCGTATCTATGTTCACGAAGACGTGTACGACAAATTCTTGGAGGCATACACCAAGCGGATGAAGAGCATCCAAGTTGGCGATCCATTCGACTCGACCACGGACCAAGGACCGCAGAACAGCAAGATGCAATACGACAAGATTCTGGGTTACATCGAGTCCGGCAAGCAAGAAGGGGCCACTGTGTCCCTGGGAGGATCCGCCATCGAGAAACCCGGTGGTGGCTACTACATTGAGCCCACCATCTTCACTGACTGCAAGCCCGAGATGAAGATCATGCGCGAGGAGATCTTTGGTCCCGTGGTGGCCATCAGCAAGTTCTCCGACGAAGCCGAGGTCATCAAGCACGCCAACGACACACACTATGGTCTCGCCGCTGCGGTACACACCAAGGACTATGAGCGCGCCGTCAGGGTGACGAACGCCCTCAAGGCGGGCACAACGTGGGTGAACATGTACAACTTTGTCCACTGGTCCATTCCATTCGGTGGTTACAAGGAGAGCGGCCTGGGTCGAGAATGTGGTGAGGCGGCCCTGGAGAATTATACCGAGACAAAGGCCGTGTACCTGAACATGGGTATCCCGGCCCCACGAGGCTGAGGACGACCAGATGAAGTAAAAAAAAATCATCCGAGTGTGCAAGCCTACGTATCATTCCGGATTTTTATGTCCTATAGTATATTGTGATAGCCTAGTGGTGTCTTTGGAGTGAATAGCTTCTTTCTCATTACCTCGGAATCAGAATGTGACGCTTATGAGATGCCCTTCTTAACTCAAAGACCAAAATTGAGATAATCTAGGGAGTCGCCAGATTACACATCCGATGTCACATTCGATGAATTAGCCATTTCAGAGCCGGAAGTTCCAGCCCGCCACTCAACAGAGTCTCCAGTAATACACTCCATATCCAAGATTACTCTATTCTAAGAAGAAGTACTCCGTACTGTAGGTCATAATCCGGCTGTCGGCGTAGTTGTCAGCGGATAATTCAATCCGGGGTGCATTCGGAACTGGAGACGAAAACGCATCTCCGCTTTCGGCTCAAGCGAGCAGGGCCATGACACGAAAACACGCTGATTGACCCGACAAAGGCGTTCTCGACCTTATTTTTCTAGTACAATCCAATAGTAGGCGACTTTTATGTTTTCTTAACTCAGGTCTCGTATAGTGGTAGCCTTTTCTTCGGAGCCGTCCTCTGTACTTGTTGGATAGATCAGGTAATCTAGTCTATACTATGCTTGGAAATGGTGACAGACCACCGGACCGTATCGGCTTGCCGGCAGACTTTCACCCGGGCCTATACTTTCTCGTCTATCCCAGTCTATCCCAAAGGTGCCTATGCGATGTCGGTCTTGACGTTGATGTTCGTCGGGACCCATCACGAGTATGCTCAAGGATGCCTCGAATGGGGGAAACAAAGTTTCAGATACATAGAAGGACATAAGACAAATATGGACCATGAGATTTGCTCGTAAAAAGCCCCATGCGTAGTAGTCCAGGTCAGATCGGAATTCGTCACTGCTACTACTGCCACTACAAATCATGTTAAACATCTTAGCCAAGAGACGAGCAACAGCAACGGCAACGGCCCAGGTCTGGATCCGTACAGGTACGGCTTCTTCGTCGCCAAAGAGAAGACACCTGAGTTTGCATGAGCATCAGGCCCAAGGTATTCTCAAGGAGTATGGCATCAAGGTGCCGTCCGGGACAGTTGCGACGACCAAAGATGAAGTCAGTAGAGCGGTCAGCACCCTGGGAGGAGGAGGAGCGGTGTTGAAGTCTCAAATTCTAGCAGGTGGAAGGGGAAAGGGCACGTTTGACAATGGATTCAAGTCGGGCGTACATGTGGTGACCTCGTAAGCTTACTGTCCACTCTTCCCTCAATCCCTAAACCGAGCTCCATGTGTGTAACAAGGGCACGCACTAACATTTGTTTTGCGTACGTAACTCAGACGCCAGGAAGCCGAAACATTTTCATCCAACATGCTCGGATACAACCTCATCACCAAGCAGACCTCTCCAGAAGGTCTGCCCGTGTCTCGGGTCTATGTTACTGAAAAGCTCGACATCGAGAGCGAATACTACCTGGCCATGACTGTCAGCCGCGAGCAGTACGCTCCCGTGTTGCTGATGTGCAAAGGTGGCGGCACGAGCATTGAAGAACTCGCGGCGCAGAGTCCAGAGCAGGTCGTCAACATTCCTCTCAAGTACAGCCAAGGTATCACGCCCGAGATTGTGTCGATTGTATGTCAGAAGTTGGGACTGCCGGGGACGCAGAGCCAGGAGGAAGAAATGAACGATCTTCTTTCCAACCTTTACCGGGTGTTCAAGGAAAGCGACGCGACGTTGTTGGAAATCAACCCCCTAGTCAAGGACCGTACGTCGGGGAAATTGGTATGTGCCGATACCAAGCTCACCGTCGACAACGCGGCCAAGTCCCGCCAGAAGGACATCTTTGCCATGCGTGACTACTCCCAGGAGAGGGAGTTGGAGGTCGAGGCGGAACGGCACGGTCTCGTGTACATCCAGCTCGAGGGCAGCATCGGATGTGTCGTCAATGGGGCAGGGTTGGCAATGGCGACAAACGATGCCGTGGCTCACTTTGGCGGCAAATGCGCCAACTTCCTCGACGCCGGAGGTCAAGCGACAAGCGGCACCATGGTCAAAGCATTCGAGTTGTTGCTGAGTGAGAAGAGCGTGAAAGCGATCCTGGTCAATATCTACGGAGGTAAGAACCTCATTCACACTTAACAGCAGCTGAATGCGATTCCGCGAGCTGACTATATGTGGTGGTGAAAAG